AGGGTACTTGACTGTTACCGTGCAAGCGTAGGGTTTGTTTTCGTTATGTTGTTCTTACAGCAAACAAAAAATTTCTCACAGCTAACAAAAAATTTCATCTCACTAACACACGCAAATCGCACCAATACGAACCCGCCTGGAGAGGACTATATACTTCACAAACACTACGACATATCATTTGTAGCCTGTATTGAGATTTTCACGTCCGGTTGTGTTGGTGTGAGAGCGTGTTAGTGAATATCCGAGGAAAATACATAACAAATCGATATCAAATTCATTTTGACAGGTCTACTTTCATACATTTTTTATGTTAGCCAGAGGAAAATAATAAACAACTTTACACGGCGTTGCTTCCGCTAGTGTGCGTGCGTTAAACGTCACTAATCTCTATATATAACTCGTCACTAATCTCTATAACAGTGGTCGCACGAGTCCTGGAGTTTAACATTTTTTCCTTAACATTTGATACTTTTTGCGATAACCATTTTGACGACACACAAAAACAAACTGGCAAGCGGCAAAAATGTCATGACATTTCTAAACTGTTTTCTGCCAGCGACAGAACATTTTCGCACAAAGAAGCAGACAAGACCGGCGGCGCGCGCGACATAAATTTATGTCGTGTAGAATTTTGCTGATTTCTGGCTAATTACTGCATTTATTTGATGTTTATTGCATGGAATTAAAAGATAAGAATGAAGACTGACCACTCATAAGCATTGATGTTAAAATTATGTGTAAATAAGGGAGTTGGTAATTTACTGTCACACGCAAGCCTGCAGCTAAAATTTCATTACAATAAACTGTTTGGAAAAATCAGGCTGCGAGATTTTATTTATTCTCTATCTCCGCTGTTCGCTTGGAATGTAGTTATAAACGGCCGCCCGTGTGCTGGCTGTTTTGTTTCGCTCTGGACGATGGTTTTTCAAAAAATGTACTGTTGCCACCTCTGCTCTATAACTCCATAACTGCATTCCATCCGAGGGGTTTCTACCCAATGTGGTACAGAGAGAGGTGAAGCAGATCGTGAAATATTGTTGTATTAGTAAACCAAAAAATCAACGTAAACGCAAGTAGTGACGTCACTAATTGCTTGTATCGTACAAGGGTTTTACTCACACAACTTAACCGATTGCTTCACCACGGTAATGCAGCTCATTGGTTTCTACCAGCGCTAACTACCGGTCAGTAGCCTCTTAGGTCAGTAGCCAGAAGTACCAATCGAACTGTCAAGCGGGCTACCAAACAAGCAAAGTAAATAAATATTATTGTTCCCACAGCCTGTGAACTACAAGTATTGCATTCAATACTGACAATATTTTAGTAATTTTAGCTGAAAAACATTTCTTCGCTTTATTTAACACATTGTGGTATTTATATGTTATACCAAGCACTTGTTTGAACATTTTTCAGGTTCTATAATTGTTTTTGTCTCCCAGAAGCTCCGTTATCGACATGAAATTTTTCACTTCTGAATGAAAGTCATCCGATGCTAACGCAAAACAAATCTGGTTGCCGTTTACTTTTACGAAAAATAAATCACAAACAGTGCTGCTTGTTCGCAACATTTTCTCTTGGAGGGACTCTTATTAGAACATCGACTCTGGTCAGTGCCAGTCACCCGCATAAACGCGAACCATATCTTGACCTTTCCGAAAATGGTTAAAAATTGTAAAATCCCTTTAACTGAAATGGTTAGGGAACTTTACATGAAAGTTTATGTGATAAAGTTTTAACCTTATGTATAATAGTTTTTTGGAAGTGAACCTTACACAGCAAAAAAAAAATGTAATATCGATCAATGTAATTCAAGCTGATGTATGAAATAATGATGTAATAGCAAAAAGCAGATACGATATTACATCAATGGATGTAATTTTGTTCGCAAAATCGATGTACATCGTACAACGTTGTATTACACAACCGATGGATTGACCTGGTTGCAGCAGTTTGGATGTAATATTCAACATCTTTTTTTTTTTCTGTGTACAAATAATGGGTTGTTAAGAACCATAACCATTCAAAAATCTTGTTTTCTCCATATTTTCGGACGAGTATGTACGAGTTATAGAACCATCGCGGCTCGGATTTCAGGTTCGAAACGAAGCATTTTGAATCGCTTCATATGGACGCATCATCGAATGGTTTCGGTGGTATTCTTGTACAGCGTCAAACGTACGATAATCAGTTTCATCCGACTATGTTTTTCTCGCGTATAAGGCTCGCGATGTAATTGTACCGGTAAATAAACTTGCGAAAGTAACTCATCAACCCTTAGAACCGTTGAAGCGTTTTATCACCGACAAACCGACATTTTACCATGACATTTCTGATCAAAGCACAAAACTGTCATCTGCCGTCGTATTAACGGAAATTTTTTATCCTAGCCACGAACACGCGTAGAAAATGTATGAGTTGGTTCTAGTCTAATCTATTCCGGACAAATTATTTTTATCTAGATAAAACAAAACTTTGGTTGTGACAGATGGGATCGCTGCACATTTGAATCGGCCGTTATGGATTCTCGATCAAGAGTTAAGTTTCAGTTTCATGTCGGTTTGTCGGTGGTTTTAGCGTTATTACACACTACTTTTTTTCTTTTTCTAGGACTGAAATATCTATCCATATTTGACTATACAGTGTGGGTCTGATTTTGGCGCCATCTAATTTTTCCAAGTAACCGAGCACTTTCGGGCAGGAACATTTTCTTTTTGCGTTTCCGTTCGTTTTTGAAGGTGCGTGTACGATTGTACGACTTTTCCCCGAAAACCAGTCCCCCGAAAACACTTTCCCCGAAAAACATTTCCCCGAATGTAACTTTTCCCCGAAAAACATTTCCCCGAAATACAATTCCCCGATTGGAACAGTTCTCCGAAAATAATTTCCCCGAATGTACCATTTCCCCGAATCTGCAAATCTTCGCTGGTTAACTACTTGTTCCGAACAATACCACAATAAACATATTAATGTGTGTCGAATAAAGACAATAGGTCGTATGAATAAAAGCGTTTACTTTACTTTTCTTACGGGAAAGTAAAGTAAACTCTTTTTATTCATACGGCCCAATAGTTTGACTTTCGTTAAAACAAAATGTAAAGGTCAAGATCCATAAATCGGTGTAATCGGTGTAATCCGGTTCTATAACATTCCCCAGAAAACCATTCCTCAGAAAACCATTCCCCAGAATGCACCATTCCCCAGAAGAAAAAAAAACATTCCCCAGAAAAGCATTCCCCAGAATGTACCATTCCCCAGAATGTACCATTCCCCAGAAAAGATGATGAAATTAGTAATTTTCACTTTTCTTTTTTTTTACTATTGATAATACACTATGTTTACTTTTATGGAACTATGTATTTATCAATTCAAAACCATTTATTAGTTCTTTATAAAATGACAACCTTCAAGTTGTCGAGCACTTCGTTCATCATTTAATAAGTCAAAGGGTCTATTATGCAATCCAATTCAACCAGTCGGAAACTATTAAACCTTATCGAAGAATTCAGTGCTAACATTTGAAAACGGCACAAAAGCCATTTGTAAACAAATGGTTTGTGGGCCCTTTACTCACTACTTGGAGTACACCCACGCGACACAACAGCAACATCGGGTAGGGGAAATTTTCCCCTTCCTGACGATGCTGTTGGTTTGCGTGGGCGTTCTTCGGGTAGCGAGTAAAGGGCCCACAAACCATTTGTTTACAAATGGCTTTTGCGCCGTTTTCAAATGTTAGCACTGAATTGTTCGACCTGAGTTGAAGAATTTCTCGTGATGGATTAAAAAATCGGTGCATGGAACGTTGAACTACCGATTACAAATTTATAACATTATTCCACTCGTTATTATCCCAAATGGTCATTACCCCGAATCCCTTACGAAAAGCTATTGATTATATATTTTCCTTATTTATTAAAAGAAGGGGATATTCCCTTCTTTCTCATACATCCAAAGAATTAATTATTTTCTCTTTTATATATTCAAAGAAGGGAGTATTCCCTTCTTTATCGTGTATCCAAAGAATTAATTATTTCCTTTTCTTATATTTTCAAAGAAGGGAATATTTCCCCCTTTATCATATATTTAGCAAATTAATGATGTTTTCTTTTATATATTCAAAGAAGGGAATATTCCCTTCTTTATCGTATATCCAAAAAAATAATTATTTCCTTTTCTTATATTTTCGAAGAAGGGAATATTCCCTTCTTTATCATATACTTAACGAATTAATGATGTTCTCTTATATATATTCAAAAAAGGAAATACTCCCTTCTTTATCATATACTTAACGAATTAATGATGTTCTCTTATATATATTCAAAGAAGGGAATATTCCCTTCTTTATCATATATTTAACGAATTAATTATGTTCTGTTTCAAATATTAAAAGAAGAGCATATTCCCTTCTTTATCGTATATCGCGGTATATTATATATATTTACAAAGTTTTTCTAGCGAAGTCTTCATTATGAAATTATTCGATAGGAACCACTTTGTTCGTACACTTAACACACTGGTCAAACAAATACGAATGCAAAGTTTTAACGAAGGCCGTCGCCAAATGTCATAACAAGTCATAACCACAAACTTTATCTAGGGTGTTGAACGACGTTGTACTGTTTATCAATATTCAGCAGAGATATTTTTCTGAATTTCATATAGATAAGTTGTAACAAACCCTAGGATCATATTTAAATAGATCGTACAGTGTAAATTGTATCTTTCGGGGAAATAGTTTTCGGGAAAACGTTCCTTTCGGGGAACTGGTTTTCGGGGAAACGTACACGTACAATCGCGTGTACCACCGATTTTGGAAAGTTAACCTAAGTAGCCAACAAACCCGCTAATCACCCTTTTTCCAATATAAAACTGATACAAGTCTCTAGGGGCACGCAATAACCCTTAGCTCTGACGCAGGAAACAGCTGTAATTAAATCAGTCCCATGACAACTACATTACATTAATTACATAGTGCATAATATTAACTACTTTTTTGTACATTAATTTACAGTCAAAATTTCGTTTGGTCTTAAATTTCAATGCATACTTTATTAATTCTACGTGGTAAAGGATTTTAAAAGCGATCAACTAATTGAATAATGTATGCTTGCTCTTGTTCTCGCCAGTCGGAGTCCCCGGCATCACCCAAATTACCGGCATATTCGCGCATGACATGCCGGATGGTTTTCATCGAAGCATTTCTCAAATTCAAAATTTGCAGAATGCGCTGTTTAACCACATCGGTTGAGCTGACTTCCAGTACGATATAGTCAATCAACTGTAGGGTGAACAATCCTCCAGAAAGTCGTTTTACGTAAATGACATCCTCATCTTCCTCCTCCTCGCCAGTGGTCTAGAAAGATAAAGGATTTCTCGTGAAACACGAAAATCATTACAGCTACATAAAACCAAACATACAATTTGTTGATCGATTTCACGGTCGACGACTTCTACCTTCTCCAAGTATTTGAAATGAAGTTCCATGAGTCTTTCTACCTTCTCGAACTCATTTTCGGTGAATTTAGTCAGCAGTCGTTGTCTTTGACCGCCTTTACAATTTCGCAGCATGCTAGCCACAATCGATACAACATGTTCTTCGTGTTCGTCAGTGCTCAATATACGCTTCTTGTTACGTTTCGGGGTCTTCATAAACAATGGAAAAATGGTTCGCAAACCTAGGATGTCAACAAACTTGTTGCAATTGTCTCGCCCATCTGGTCCGGACATGGCATGATCAAGAACCTTGAGAGATCCGTTTCGGGAGAGTTTCTTCTCGCGCAACATTAGGTTCATCAGCTGAAGTCCTTCTCCTTTGAGAAACTTTTCGCGATTTTCTGCTGCCATTAGAGCCGAGCAAAGGCTGTTGAACAGATTTTCCATAAACTCTTGCTCTTCAGTCGAAGATGGATCATGTCGCTTGTAGGCCTACAATAAAGAACACCAATTTGTGAATTATTATCCTATTATTTAAACATTTTCGACCTACCGCCAATTGCTGCAGAAGCACATCGATTCCATCCAAATTCCCCAACAGGATCCTATTTTCATTGGTATCTTGTAATAGAATGGACATAATTTCGCTGCAGTACAACTTGTTCACATCAAAAGGCATCTTCATCCGCAAACGTTTCAGGATCCACTGTAGCAAACCTTGTTCAGCTATTTCCTTTGCGATTTCAGACTTGATCTCCATCAAATTCTCAAAGATGGCCAAAGTATTGTGAACACCATCAGCTTCCTCCTTAACGGTCTCATCTATTCGTTCGAGATTTTGAACTAACAGACCGGCAGCCTGTTGGTTCCGCAATGCTTCAATCAATGTTTCAGCTCCCTCCAAGCTTTCATGCAATATATCCACATCTGTCAGCTCTTGAAGCAAATCTACAACCGCAACACTAACGTCCGTATTCTGATGCGATAAAAGTTCTAATAAACTCGAAACACCATTCAATTCGACCAGCAAGGAGTAAAGATCCGGGACGGTAGCCACGGCATGAAGTTCCTGTATGACATCGTTCAGCTCGATTTCACTTTCCATAAACTTTTCAGGATTATCAGGAAATTTGATACGCATTTCCTGATTCTTCAGAACTCGCTTCTCGAAAAGCAAAAGAATCTTCTTCAAACTCGTATCGTCCAGCACTTCTCCTTCAGCTTCTTCTGATTCAACATATTTGAGGATGTCAATTCGTTCCTGTTCGCTGATCTGCGGTTCCTTCTGAGATACTTGTGGTTTTGCTTTAACGTTCGGAGTATTGTGATCTTTCCTCACCTTTGGTGGAGGTTCTGCTGTTGCCACAGTTCTGTGTTCCGGAGAATAATCTTCGTCGTCATCAAAATCTGAAGGGCGTTTCGGCGTCTGCTCAGGCTAAATAGATAAAATGATTTATTCGACTGGTAAGTGCGATTTACATTAGCTTTCATTACCTTGAATGAAAGAAGCTCTCCTATATCCATGACTGCACGATTTCAACCGGAATAATTGAAAATATTATGAGAATATCCGGTAAAATACAGAATCGATTTCCAAGTTGACGCCACACCACAACGGCACAACATAACGTAAACAAAAATATGATAATTTATGACTTTTTGTGTCCAGCATTGGGCGATCTTATATAAGATTGATTTGAGCGAGGGGTTTCTATACACAGAAACAAAATCCATTGGCAACAATACTATTGCGCATTTCACAAATATATTGATGCTTTAAATTGGGTTCTTTAAGCGTATTGAGGTAAATGCATAATCGTAATCTGCATTAAAAATGGAACCCAAACCCAAAATTTCATCAATTTTGGTACACTGGAACTATTTTAAATAAGCACGATTACATTTGCAAAAATCACCTTATTAGCGCCCCTCTGTGTCACTTTGTATGGGAGCGAGCTGTCAGTTTGTTAGTTTAGTGACAAACAGTGAAGTAATTATTTTGCTTTAAATCTTGATTTAAAAATCGAGATGAAAGTGTGTGGGTTCGAAAAAAATATCGCTGTGCTCAGAAAACGAAGCGTTTTCAGATGATTTATAATAAACGATACATTTTTCAAAATTAAAGAACCCAATTAAATATTGTCGCGCTTATGTTAAATTCTCATTTGGTTAAGGCCCTCGCACATTAGATCCGGATCGGACGCGTTGCGGCAAAATGACAGCTAAATCTATTGTCTAACTGTCAAACTTACGTCAACGCAACGCAAACGGATCTAATATGCGTGGCCCTTTACGGTCGAAGCGCGCCCGAAAATAAATGATTAAAATAAAACAACGAAATTACAATGATTTTTACTGTTGAATTTCGTGTACATTAATATTTATTGTTAAATTATTGCACGGGAGAAAAAATAAATTTCGATTTTTAACGATGCAATGCTCAAACAATGAAAATTAGTGTGATGAGATCAAATTTGTTCCAGAAAAATCACTTTTTTTTATTGTTAAGATGCTTAACAACCCCCCTTTTTTACTGTAAATTCCTCAAATACCATGTTTTTCATTGTTGTGAACCATGAATTTCGTTATGATATTATGGTAATGGACAAAAATGTCCAATATTTCGACAGTAAATATCATTGTTACAATGACAATGAAAATCATTGTATTTTTATTGGATTTTTTTTACGGGCACAGCTCATAAGCGCGATGCAACCCCGCCTATAAGGATTATACACAGGTGTGTAACTTTGATAGTATTTAATGGCAGCGGCTTGAGGAGCGAATCCTGGATAAAGAGCCGCCGTGTGTTAAATCAATGGGCGCAGTCGCACGGCCATAAACAGAAAACAGGTGGTATAATCGTATAATCTCTTTTGGAGAAATTATCCTGCCACACACAATATACATGATATATATGTGTCGGACACATAGTTCTTATCACTCCGGTGGCAGAAACGTCATCCACCAACATTTTGCTTGAAGCCAAAGGTTTTGGCTCTTTGGTTTGATTATCTGTCAATCTAAAACAGATGATGAAAGTGTTCGCAACAGCGAATAGATTGGTACCACTGCCGTGTATCGATTACACCGCCACCGCTAACCACTCCACGTTTCCGATGTTGGCCGCAGAAATCAGCACAGCAGAAATATTTCCCTATCCTTTTTTCCCTTCCTTGCATTTTGTTTTACTAACCCCGAGAACGCCGCGGGCAAACGGCTTCCCTTACTAACACTAGCAATAAGAACAGAAATAAGTGTAAACATCCAATAAGAATCTAGCTTTTATGACATTGTACACGTTCATTCCGTTTTGCGTAGTAGATTGTTAGACCAATCATCATCGTCATTTAATTTCTCTTTGATTCAAAAAAGTATAAAACCAAGCGAATCACGCATTCACATTGTCAGTCGTTTCCGAATTGCCAAGCAATATAGAGATAAAGTGAAGAAGCTGAAGTTATCCTATCCAAGAAAGAAAATTCCAGTTTTCCCGTCGATTCGATATCGATGCAAGGGGTCCCTGTTACCGTCCTAGTTTTGTCGGTGTTCCTGCTCAGCGGAGTTCCTGTTCCCTCTACTTCCGAAATGGAGAGTTGCTGTTCCCACCGTTGCTTGTTGCCGTCGCTGCTCTAAAAAGAGTTTTACTTTCGCGGTGTTCTTTTAAGAACTACCGATTCCGAGTAAGCGATGTCGGCTCGCAGCTGGTGCAGCTGGAATTTGTCGTCATCTGTTGGCAAGGCCCAACGAGCAGCCGTTTCAGATTCAAGTCAAACATCACGTTGGCAGTCGAGCCAACATAGTGGTCCGTTCCGAACCGGATAAAAGTGCGAAACATACAGTCCACGAGTGAATTGTTTTCCCGTGTCACGGTGGTCAATACGGAAGAAGAAGAACAGTGTACAAAGTGAATTGCTAGAACGCAAAAAGAACAAGTTGTGAAGTTTGCTGGATTCCCAGTATCCAAAAAGTGATGTTCCTGTGAAGCAGTAAAGTACGAAGTGTTCCTAACTGGTATCATTTTCCTCGAGAGTTACTCTTCCGAAGTAACAACATCCTTCCTTCGTGATGCCAGTGGATTATACCCCAACCAAACCTGTGAAGTTGACCATGGAGGACATCAAGCCACTCATCCACCAACGTGGTCAGGTAAAGGCCAAGGTCACTGCGATTGCAAGTGCCTTGGAAAGAGCCGAAGACGATCCAACTCAGGTGAGTCTACCCATTCTCAAAGTTTATGCGAAGAAGCTCGAAGCTCATTACAATGAGTACAATAACTTGCACAAGGAAGTTCTTTGTTCCATCCCTCCTAACAAAACTAATGATCAGGATGAAAAGCTGAATGAGTTTGACAAGCTTCACACCGAATCTTTGATTCGGTTGGAGCTTCTGATAGAAATGTTGTCAGTTTCCAAGATTTCCCCTGTTACATCCAATACACCAACTAGTGCTACATACGTAATCGTGCAGCAACAACCGCTCAGAGCTCCAATCCCTACCTTTGACGGGCGCTATGAGAATTGGCCCCGTTTTAAGTCCATGTTCGAAGATATAATTGGTCGAAGCTCTGATTCCGATGCAATCAAACTGCATCATCTAGAAAAAGCACTAGTTGGTGGAGCCTCTGGTATACTTGATTCCAAAACTCTTGCTGACAACAATTACAAGCATGCTTGGGAAATTCTTACTGATCGTTATGAAAATCCCAGAATTATCATTGATACTCACATTGATGAGCTTCTAACAATGAAGAAGATGTCAAAAGAATCCCATAAGGATCTTCGAGCTCTGGTAGATACGTGCACGCGTCACGTTGAGGGTTTAAGGTTCATGAAACAACCAGTTGAGGGTACAACGGGATTAATAATCAACAAAATTTTGACATCCTGTCTCGATGCTGCCACTCGTAAGCAGTGGGAACGATCCCTTTCTCATGATGAGTTGCCGAATCTCAATAAGACACTGACCTTTCTGAAGGAACAGTGCCGTATCCTTGAACGCTGTGAAGCCGATACTCATACAACCGTGAAAGCGCACCCAATGAAACCATCCCAACAATATGTTAAACCTACCAGCGTTAAGGTTCATGCGTCAACATCCAGTACTAACAATGAACCATGTCAGTTGTGTGGCAAGGGCCATTTCAACTATCAATGTCCCGACTTCTCAAAGTTATCAGTGGCTGATCGAGCTGCCACGGTAAGAGAAGCCCACCTATGTTTCAATTGTCTGCGTCGTGGACATCGGTCCATGAACTGTTTGTCGAAGAAAAGTTGTAGTAAGTGCAACAAGCGTCACCATTCCCTTTTGCATGATGATGCAACCAAAACCGTTTGACCATTTCATTAAGGGACTCAATAGAAACTGCGTTAACTTGTTGTGGACTCACAAACGCAACTGATTCATCCCGAATCTCACCTGAGACCACCCAACCCAGTTCGGTTTCTCGCAATTCTGGAAGACCGTCACCAAGTAAGCGATGTCGGCTCGCAGCTGGTGCAGCTGGAATTTGTCGTCATCTGTTGGCAAGGCCCAACGAGCAGCCGTTTCAGATTCAAGTCAAACATCACGTTGGCAGTCGAGCCAACATAGTGATGGATTTAGCAGAACGCTCGCTTTGGGATTGTGTAACAACTGGAAGATAAGCAGGCCCATTATCACCCTTACTCTGATTGGACGAATTACCTCAGAGATTCGGGATGAATCAGTTGCGTTTGTGAGTCCACAACAAGTTAACGCAGTTTCTATTGAGTCCCTTAATGAAATGGTCAAACGGTTTTGGGAAATCGAGGAGGTAAATAACACTTCTCAGCGCACTGTAGAAGAAGAAGAATGTGAAAAAATCTTTCTTCAAACTCATCGTCGTGATTCATCCGGTAGATATGTCGTAAAGCTACCATTCCGAGATAATGTATCTCAACTGAACGACAACCGCTCTTTGGCTCTGCGTCGTTTCTTCTTCCTTGAAAGACGTCTTCTCAGAGATCAGGAGCTACATGCGCAGTATTCTGACTTCATTAAAGAATATGAGTCACTAGGACATTGCAGAGAGGTTCGAGAGTCCAATGATCCCCCTGGTATGATTAAATATTACATTCCGCACCATGCTGTTATCAGACCGTCGAGTTCTACTACCAAACTCAGAGTTGTTTTCGACGCGTCAGCGAAACCTCCTTCTGGAACCTCCCTAAATGATGTTTTGCAGGTCGGAGCAGTTGTCCAAAGCAGCCTTGAGACTGTGATTTTAAGATTCCGTAAGCACACGTACGTGTTCACTGCTGACATTGCCAAAATGTTCAGACAGGTTTTTGTTGACCCCCTCCAGGCGGCTTTCCTTCGAATTTTCTGGCGTTCGAAGCCTTCGGACGCTCTCAGAGTTTTGGAGTTACTTACTGTAACATACGGCACTTCCTGTGCTCCATTTCTTGCTACCAGAACTTTGCTTCAGCTTTGTGTTGATGAAGGAGATGAGTTCCCTTTGGCAGCACATGCTATCCGGGAAGACTGCTATGTTGATGACATTCTTTCCGGTACAGACAGTATTCAAAGGGCAGTCGAATGTCGGCAGCAAATTCAGGAAATGCTGAAAAGGGCTAG